TTCTCTATTTTTCTATGGCGCGGTTTCCATAACCGTTTTGCCCGAACAGATTTTAGCTTTTCGTAAGATATTTGGTCCAAACACTGGAGTGCCTTCCTTTGAAGAATCCCATCCTCAGGCTCGCCACATGTTTTTTGCACCTTTTGTGGCTTCAATATATCTGTATGCGTGACAGGGATTTGAAGTTATTCGTTTAAAGCCATGCCTCGCGATTTAGGAGACTCGGGCTTTTTCAAAGTTCATGTTTAGATTCGGTTGTGTCGCCTACCAGTTTCTCTCATCCCTAAGTTGGGTTTGAAGACAACACGAAGAAAAAGGAAATATGATTCAGTGGAGTTTCATTACTCCTCAAACGAGGACGAATACGACGAAAACAACTCTGAAACAGGTGTGTTTTCTTTCTTTCTAGATTTTTAAAGAAACCATTCACTCAGCGGACATGAGAAAACCGTTCAGTGACGGGAACCACCGTTGATAAGAGCTCTGCTGACGATTCCCTCCGAAGATCTATCGCAGGAGAAGACACTGTTAGAAGAAAGTCAGTCCCTTCGTGATGAGGTACAATAGTATTGGAATTCATTCAGTGCAGTAATTGTTTTTTTTTCTATATACATATTTCTTCAGCCTCCAGCAACTGATCCAACTGATCGTATCCTTCAAACTGATTTCGGGCCTGATAACGACGCTGGTCCTGATGATGATGAAGACCAGTGCGAAGAATGGGAAAGGTAAGCCGCTACAAGCGTCCACATGACTAGCAGATGCTGGAAGTGTTGCTCTGCAATCGCAGCAAGCATGAATCAGTCGCGGTTAGGCCATAGTTTTTCGTCGATTGCGCAGTAGATGTTGTGGTCGGAATGCTGGAGTTTTAAGGGGACAAGGTGGATAACGCGGAGGCGCAACTAAGCCACTAGTCTGCGTCCACCAACCGTGATAGAGTAGTCCTTCCCAACAGGCTTGGCCTCAGAATTCTCAAATGACCAGGGTTGACGGGGCCTGACCTCTCTGTGTGGCCCACCCTAACTCCAACAACTTCGTTACTTTTCTTTCAAAGGTTTGTGTTCTCAGGCATGAGGCTCTTCACGACGACGTCACGGAGCAAGATCGGATCAAACCTCGTAAATATGAAGAAGAGATGGAAATCATATGGGAGAAAGGTGGTCCTGGACTTGTGTGGTATACCGACAAGAACTATTGGGATGAAAGAGAGAAAGGTAGGTCTGGATTCATGATTGTAGTGATTCAGTCCTGGATGAGTCCTAAATCGTTGAGCGGCTAGACACTTTCATATCGAGGGTGGCACAGGATAAGTGCGCAAAACTCATTCGACCGGTTCACGATTAATGGGCATCTTCTTTTATGGTAAATGTGTTCATGGGGCAATTACCAACTGCTGTAGATTTTGAATGAGTTCCATCGAACTTTATGTTTTACCATAGGTGTTTGTAGAATGCGATTACTCCGAAGTGATTCGGTTAGTGCGACATATTTCGAGGGAAACTGAAAAATGGAAAACCTTGACACCTGACATTCCCTCAACCTAATAGAACGGACTGTTCTGAAGGACGATTTCCCCATAACATGGTTTCGTACAGCCTGCTGAAAATGTGCACACAATTGTTGGGAAAAGTTACATGTGACATTCCTGTGCCAAGAGGCCATTCTGGAATAATCTTATTTATACGGCATAACGCCTAAAAGGTAGACGACCCTGCGGGAAAGGTTCGGTGTGAGCGGCGGGTTCGATTTCTCAAGCTAACCTGTCGTGTGAACAACCTCTCGTCCGTGGTTGCTGTAATTTAGTTGACGTGTACTATTTCAAATTGCTAAAAGACAAAAGGCAGTTGCAAATGGAGACCTTATTCAGACAATTTCATATGTGACCCTTGCTTTTCCTTAACTGGCGCGTCACCTCACGTCTTGCCTTTCTGCCCAACTAGCTGCATCCGCCCACATCCGATTATCGTGGAAAATGCATTTAACTAGCCGTGGCCGTGTGTCCTATGTGGGAAATTCGGGTTCAATTTGCACATCGACTTAGAAGAAAATGCCAATGCGTTATTTTTCAGTACTCATAGTCGTTCGTTCAGGAACCGATTGTGATTGGGCCTGGGCAGATGATTGGGACGTTGACTACTCTGTTTATTACGAGGGCAAGTCCGCAGGATCGAAAGATGCTCAGAAAAAAAAAAAAAAACGGCTATTCGAGATCAGAGAAGATGAGGCGAAGCGGTACTCAGTTCCATGTCCTTTTTTCTTAGGTAAACGAGAAAACGTCTGATTTATAGTTCGGGAAAATTGGAAGAATCTGTTTTCACAAAGAAGGCTAAATCATTTAACTCGCTGAGAAAACGTCGAAACAGCGATACAGAAGTGGATATCGAGCGGTACAATAAGGGCATCGGCAGCAAGTTGCTCGGGAGGTAAGCAAGTGGCAATCATCATTTCTTCTTCCCGTTAGTGTGTAAGAGACCGCAGTTGAAGGCAACTTTGTACGAATTGCAGGATGGGTTGGAAACCCGGCTCTGGATTGGGTCGCTCACAGCAAGGTCGGGTTGATCCAGTAGCGATTCATTTGGAAGAGGATGGGCAAACCGACAGAGAGAAAAAGGGATTCGGCTATCATGGAGAAAAAATGAGACGCACTGGATTTATGAAAGTGCCGAAAGTGCATGCCATCGCATCAAGGTGAGTACTACCAGCTTGACACCAGGGCTTTTGCAAACTACGACCCCCCCTAGTTCCCCTATCCTCCATCATATGACTTACGCCACTCCTTGTGTACCTACGCCTCGCTGAAGTTTTCCGCAACCCCGGCTAACCAACCTCCTGTTTCCTATGAAAAATTTTCCAGTCTCCCCCGAGAATGCTGGCCGTCAAGCGGGGAGAAGGAGGGGGGTGTCGCATCCAAGAATACTAATTTCAACGCATTGGAAAGCGTAGCGTGTGTGATAGTTCGCACCCCGCCCACTAGTTGTGGACGCCGGGAGGGGGCTCTCAGAACGACGAGGAATACCGAACTCAACCCCCTAATGGAAGTCTTGTAACGTCCCGACGATGGGGTAGCAGAAATGAAATAGAAAACTCAACTATCAGAAAAATTCTCAGGCTAGATAGGATTTCGAGAACAAGTTCTGAGATTGTTGAGCTTTGCTCACTGTTCGATCCTCTTCGCCCCCCCGTCTGCTGGAACTGGCAGTCCATTGGGGTAAAAATGATGGGAAAGGATGTTGAAACAACGTCCAGAACAAAAAGGAAATAAGTGGTTGAACTACGAGGAAGGCGAAGAATGATAGTTCTGGGAAGGACGATTTTCGGCAACACGAATTTTCCGCAACGGTGCGTGCCCTGTTTGGTTTTATACATCTTCTAGACGCTATCTCTTTAAGCCTTTCGATTTGTGGTGTAGGAAGAAACTATGGCTATGGGCTTTAACCTAAGAGCTCTGCGTCAACAAAATGACCACCTTATTGGAATAGTACCAGCTGCGATACCTTGAGATGGATTCAGAAGCCTTTTTTTCAGTTTCGACGCAGTCACCGATAAAAGGACTGTGCCCTATAAGAGAGTTGGAAACGATGACGCTGGAGAGATCCTGTTTCGTAGGGATGAACTGACGAGAATGAAGTACAGGCCTGATGCAGGGGAACCGAAACGTAAACAATAAACCTGTTCAAATCTTATCTGTTTAACTACTGGTCAAACTGCTCGCTTTTTAAAAAAACGACTTTATCGACTTCCAAATATTTTTAGGCAGTCCATCAACCAACAGTCTTTTTTGCAAGTGAACTTATGAGAATATGAAGTTCGCTCCCTTATTTGTAAGTACAGAGGAGAAAAAAAGGAAGGAGACGGCTTTTTAAAGTTTCAAAAGCGCTATAAGCCCCCCGTTTCTTGGGGACATTTCACACGCGAACAAATATTACAAACAGCTATTGTGTACTCTTATGATACTCCGCCACAGCCTTCTGGACGAGCGCCATCGAGAGCTTCTGCCTTGCGACCGTAATTCGATGCCTGAGATCTGTCGAGATCCCCTTGATTTAATCGCTTACACTGTAGACCACCGGTGTTGAGCTGCCCCTCGCGGCCGGTAATCGAGGGTGTTCAGTGATCAGATGAACACAGCGCGCCGGAGCGCCGTCTCCTTCATGTTCTCAACGTCCTTCGATTCCAAGAAGGCGGGAATTTTCGCAGCGCCCTCGATTCCGTGTGGAGGCACCAATTTCTGTAGCAGTACAAAGTTCCCAAGAAGGTACAGGCGATGACATTTAGGCAGGGTATTCTTTACGAGTTGTGGTCGATAATAACGGCGTCAGTGGTTCACTACAGTCCGGGGTCCTACGGAAAAAAAAAATATGAGGTTTTTACATCCCACAGGAACTTTCCGTTCCATAACCACCAAACTCGTAGCCCGCGCCCTGCGGGGGGACCCCCTTGCGTGGGGACGAGATCCTTTTGGACCGTAGTAGACGTTGTCGGAGCCCTCGATGTTTGAAGGTCTCCAGATCAAGAGTGCTGTCCCAGGTGCTATGCCATGGATGGCTCAGAAGTTTCGCAGCTGTTTGGAGTTCACGTGAATTCTAAAGGGCTTCTCCAGTCAGGGTGCAATTAGAGATGACTTCATATCTCGGTGTACATGAAAATGATGGGCGAGAGAAAAACGCTGCCTTACCGGAGGAACAATCTCGTATCCATCCGCCTGGTAGCTCGTGATGCCACACACGGGCTTGCGTAAAAACTTTGCTGATGTGTGACTCGGGCCAAAGTATCTTTCTTTCCCTCCCCCCTGTATATGCACATAAAACGGAAACGACAGTTTTTTCCATGCTGCCTTGAAGTACCAGTAATGTTTCCGGAATATGTGACAAAGCAACCATAATATGCCTTGCTGGGCGTGGCGAGCGACGTCGCGAATGCGAAGAGACGAGTTGTCCTCCTCGGCAGTCTGGATTTGGATGTAAAGTGACGGGGAATATCTATAGCAGCCGACATGCTCCTGCTTGTACTCACGGAAGTTACTCTGCCCAATCCAGAAGTCCAGTGAGCGATGTGCAGCACATTACGACTACCTTGTCTTTCTCCCACATTTGGGAAGGCTGACCAACACATGATTTGGCCGCGTCTATTCCGCTTTCATCGACGGAGAGGGATACACGGATAAGGCCAGATAACCTAATATTTACCCAGTTTTTGACGGCTTGCTTTTAGGTAATACTTGTAAATCCGAGTAATAACAAGTTAAGAAAACTTTATTTCTCTCAAACAAAGGAAACATGATAGCATAATCAAGTGATTGTATTCCATAACAAATCAGTTACAATAAAAAAATCTATACAATTTTTCGTTTACAGGGTTCAATCCTATCAGTGAGCGTACGAGAAATTGCGCTTCGAAAGAGACGCGAGAAATCATCCGTAGTCCTCGAAAGAGCGGGTTTTCTCATCAGGAATAGAGATTTCATTTCATTCATAAATAGATCGGCAGTGGATACATACAGACACGTTCTACTGGATTTTGATCAATAGATAGAAAGCAAATGGTCTCGTCCGACAGCTAGCACACACGACATGGCACAAGCGCCGCAATTTAGATGCCGTTAGAAGGGAGCAATATACTGTGTACGAAGTTGGCCGTCGAAGGTGGCCCGTCAGCTGCTAGGATCGATCAGTCGTCGGAAGCCGATCAGTTAACCACAAGATAGCCATATCAATCCATCATCGACTACAAAATTGTCAAATTTCCTCGGCGCAGGACCCGTGTAATCGCGAATGGGACACACATTGAACTCTGGCAAAAAATTTGCTTGTATACCACTCTTCAATTTACCTAAGAGAATTCCAAAAGTACAGGCCATAGAGACACGTGGAGAGGAAGGCGTTCCCTGGAGACAGCAAACTAGTTTCCTGCTCACTGCATGTCAAATATAGAGATGTGTAATCTCTTAGGACTTCCTGGTAAAAAGTTCTTTGCCGAAGTGCGTTTCACGAAGAAGTCCCTTCCTTTAGCCCTGCCATATGGTATTTCTATACCGCACACGCGAGGTAGAGCAAGGGTTCTTCGCGTCCAAGATTGATGCTGACACTTTTGGGACATCTCATCATTTTTTGACTGGTGCTCCATTAGCCGGCCAGTCAGCTTGGGCCTGACGCTGGTATCGTCACCAATTTTGCAATTTTTGCGGCATAACTTGGGCCTCGGCAGGGATCGAGCTCGTGGCTCAGAGTGTAGACATGAGAGTACACTCTCACTCACTCGGCTATCCCTGTCGCCCGCCAGAAAGCTACACTGTGCAGGAAAACCACGGTGGTGGCGCGAAATTGGCGTCTGTGGGTGCCAAGTGGCGCCGGCGCTAAAAGTGAATGCTATATTCCTAAACAATATATCGAATAACCCTGCCAGCAAGTTTGTGCCGTGCCTTTAGCACGGACCAGTCCTGAAAGACAACAGCGTTAACTGGACACCAGTCACCTTGTCACGATGCAAGCCAACTACATAAGGGAATGCTCATGCTATACCAAAGTAAGCCTTGGGTGCATGGTGCAGCCTGGACGACTTCACGCACATGTAGTGCACTCGTTCTCATTTCCCATTGACCCAGTTCTCATTTCCGATGGAGCAGATTAGCGTTTATGGTTGAACAGGTTGAAAAGAGTACAAGGTGCAGCTAATAGACCCGTAACTTTTTTCTGATTGATCCTAATTAGGAGCGCACAAGAGTTCCTGCTCTCTTACTATAAAACGACACTTACCGTTTGCCGATTGAAAGCATAACGAGTTTGCCGACCTCCACAAGCACCTCGATCGATTGACAATAAGCACAATTCTTCTAAAAAATGACAAGTAATTTTTATGGTGACAGTTACAAAGTACAAACCACTTGGTCGGCGATGTTAACGAAAAAGAGTTGGTTAAACCACCCAAAGCGACATGTGAGATACTTGTGGATGAAAAAGGCAAGGTGTGCGTAGCGTAAGCCATGCATGGTGAAAGTCGATGGCAACGCTGAGAGCGATTGAGAGTAATGCCTTCAGCGAATTTTCTTCCCAGTCGATCTCTAGAAGCTCAAGCATTGCACTACTTTCGAGCCACATGTAGGGGACTCTCGTTTGCCTCATAGATCCTCTCTTTTTGAAAACTGATCGCTTAAAATGAGTCATAAAGAGTGGGCTTGGCATGGGCTCGAAAGCAATACGTGGTTTAACTTACCCTGTCAGAGCGTACATCAACAGACGGAACGCTCCTCGCTCGAAAAATATTTCTTATTAGCCGTAAAGGAACAACACCAGCACCACAAAACTCGTTAACAATGACCGATACAGCGATCGAAAACCTCTATGTACTGCCCACCAACAAAATGGTGCGCATTGTCATGCCCACAGTACAACACCTACTCACTGACACCTGTCGCAATACTAAAGTAGGCAGGGAAAGACACTAAGGCATAATATTCAGCCCAATTCCGCCCATACACCTAACATACAGTGCATTTTGACACAAACATACCATGGCTGGTAACGAGATCCCGCGACAACGCAAAAACGTCAGAGGCAGGGCTACGATGAAAATAGTCCTTGGTTCAGATGGGGAGCTTCACGGAAATAGGTACCGAAGTAGTGTTTCAGAGCTACAACTCAACCCACAGTAAGGTAGACGTCTGAATCTCATTGCTGCCACGGGATTTTAATCCGCGCCCACTATATTCTCTTCTCTTCAGCGTTCTAACGGTACCTAAACGTAGTTGAGCTGGGCCAAGTCCGGCCAGCAGACCTCTCCATTCCTCTCCCCTAACCAAGGTTTGGGCTGCAGAGCGCAGCGACAGCCAGAGCCGCTGGTGCGTTGACTCTAAGGCAGAGAACAATTGCTATGCAACTTTGGTTCGTCCACGTCTGCAGCTTGACCTTGTTTAGGCAGAGGAGGATACAGCGCAGGCGCCGCCACGGCCAAGGTGAACCATGCTTAGGCAACCAACGAATGCCCTTGTAAGTCATCCCATCGTAAGTGCTGCTGTACTTACAATTAGTCATGCATGAAACCAGATTTTCGATACCCTTTGCAAGCCTAAGACTATGAAGCAACTTGAATAAAATCCTCCTCCCACTGAGACACATCGAAAAGTCAATGATTTCAATGAATAAGATAAGAACGAGAGTGATATATTCGGATGAAAGTGAAAATTAAGTTGTCCCAATGTGGGATACGGGGTTAAGATATGAACATGGATATCTACAGAAATCCTTTGCCGCAACAGATTTCTGTGCATTGTTCAAGAGTGCTGAAGCTGTTCAGGTTACCCTGACATCCTCCGTATCTGAAATAATTCTCAGTTAGGCATATCTTCAGCACTTTACGAAGCTATTAGTAAGTGAATTTCTTTGTTGACTACTCATACGAAGTAAGTATGGAATATCGGCACCGAAGTGATTAGGAGGGGGGGGGGACAATGAGCGTAACAAGATTAAGCCAATTCCTGCTGTTCCGCGCCCTCATACCTATACTCCAACCTGTGGTGTGGTGGGCGTAACTATGTACTTCATTTAGACGCGGTCACTGCAAACGCTAGAGGGGAAGGCTTTCAAGGGGGTTAGCGGCCTGGGTATGAGCGACGCCCAGTATTTCTTCCAGCAACTGTGGTTGCCTGAGCATGCGCAATTGACAATTGCTAGAGAACAGGCTCGCGCCGCGCAAAACCCCCTCCCCCTGAAACGCCCCAGCATCCGCAGCGAATAAGACTGCTGTCGGTTTTTGTCCAACAAAAGACAAGATGACAGTTGTATCGCAATATCGCATGTCGTACAAATATCTCATGAACAACCCATCCTGTGCCATGCTCAAATGAAGTACACAGTCACATTTATCGTTGAAGCAGGCAGGGCACTTGGTACTTAAGGATCCTCAGCAAAGGTGGTCGTATTTAGCTGCTGGGAAGAGTAGGTTGAATTCATCTTCGGTGAAGTATTTTCCGTTTTCAGTTGTTGACTTTTCTCGTTTTTCCTGTCCACGCAGTGCACCATATATTGAGAATTTCTGAATAAAAAAATCCCGAAAAAGGGATAGGAAGTTGGGAGCGCTCGCGAAGATGGAAGGTAGGATGGGAAGGGAAAGGGGGATCGTTTCAGGAAATTGTGAGGGAGGGTCGTATTTCGCAGAATTCTAGCCCAGCGGCAGGTCATGCCCTGCTATCAATAAGTCGCTAGCCAATGCCCCATTTTTGGTCTTAGCCTTCGAAATTCAAACTTTTTTCGGAGGAAAAGCTTCGTCTTGACCGGTGCTCTTGTTGAAACTGCTGTATAAACAAAATTAAGAAAATCAAGAAACCCTACGAAAATTTTCTGCATAGACCAGCCGTTCGATCATAACCGTATCTCGTATGATTACCACTACATGGTCCAGTGTCTTGCTCCAACACACAAAACTGAGCTGCAAAGGAAAGAGGAAAAGATTTTTTCAGAAAAGGATTTACATTTAATATCGTCGCAATCAGATGGAGCGGCCCCAAAGAGGACTAAATGAGCCCGCCCGCGTCGTTACCACATCTGGTGGTTTTCTCACTGAATCCATCACTAACCGATCACCATTGATAGAAAAGGCGGCTGGAGGCGGGCTCATCCCAGCTCTCCTGGCCCCGCCCGACCGATGACGACCGCCCGCCCGACCGATGACGACTATTTATTTATTTGTTTATTTAATCACTATAACAACTACAGATACACAGCATATATGAAAGCAGCTCAGGGTGTAGATGCAATGGCTGGGGACGTCGAGACGCCCCACAAGGCTCTCAGATATGTGCCGTATCATGACGCAATTCACATAATCCATTGGGCTCGTGTTTGCGAACAGAGGCTGTCGCAAGGAATTTGAAGTGGTCCCGCTTCTAAAAAAGCGTAATTCGAGCTGCCTTAGTGTCTGTCGTCTCCCCCTATTCCTGCTCTCTCTCTCTCTCTCTCGTCTTTTTCCTTCGGACTTCTCGCCCAAACCTCCAGCGTTTCTTCGTCGTTAGCTTCGTTCAACGTCCAAAATCAAATTAGAGGTTATCTAGGATCTTTTCAGCGTGCCTTTTGCCATCACATCCTGCCGGGTGGGCGTTTCTTGGACGACTTTCTTGGTCTTTCTTACCAACCTTTTTTTGGTAGATAGACTGTGTGAAAATGCAATTAGGATGTTATCACAAGAATGCTGAGTTGTGGGCAAAAGTCGTGCCCCAGGCGGGAGTCGAACCCGCACCTCACGCTTTCCGGGCGAGTGCGCTATCCGTTACGCCACCAGGGCCGCTTTTACCCTCTCAGCTTAACGGCTTATGCCGTAACCTTACAGCACTCACACGTTTAACTTGGTGAGCCGGTTTAAACGTATGATAGTCCTGTCAAGGCTCGGATAAGTTGCAGCTGATGAGTATAAAAGTGACCCTGGTAGATGGATAGCGCACTCGCCCGGAAAGCGTGAGGTGCGGGTTCGACTCCCGCCTGGGGCACGACTTTTGCCCACAACTCAGCATTCTTGTGATAACATTCGGAACGCGTACTGCGGCGTTAAACAGCAGTTATCATAACAAACAGCAATTACGATGATTCTTGTACGTGCACCCCAATAGCAAATGGACGGGCTTTTACCGCATTTGGGTAAGCCCAAGATTAATCAGATGATGGCCCCAAGAAGCACCATGCAGCATGCACCTTCACCTAAACTGCCATCCCTGACCATCTCGGAAGCTCTTAACTACCTCCAATCCTTAGGGCTGCGTTTATACTTTGCGGCAGCGTAGCGCTTCCAGCGTACGCCAGCGGCAGTGCCGGGGAGAGGATGCATATCGATCTAGCGTTCCCAGCGTCACCAGCGTAACGCTAGCGTACGCTAGCGTTACGCCAGCGTTTCTCCAGCGTTTCACCAGCGTTTTGCTAGCGTTTGCAGCGGCAGGGGAGTAGAGACTATGGGAGAGCTGGAGGGTACAAAACACATCGATTGCGCGTCTCTCACTCGCCCTCAGTCTCTACTATACACATCGATTGCGCGTCTCTCACGGCCACATAGTCTCTACAATACACATCGATTGCGCGTCTCTTACGGCCACATAGTCTCTACTCCCCTGCCGCTGCAAACGCCAGCAAAACGCTGGTGAAACGCTGGCGTACGCTAGCGTTACGCTGGTGACGCTGGGAACGCTAGATCGATATGCATCCTCTCCCCGGCACTGCCGCTGGCGTACGCTGGAAGCGCTACGCTACGCTGCCGCAAAGTATAAACGCAGCCTTACGGATAAAACTGCAATTATTGTACGAGATGTTCTGTTACCATTGTGGCTGGATGAGGCGGAAATAGTGTAGTGGCAAGTAGCCGCTCCGGGTATCAAGTCCAGGATCAGCTCCCGCTTAGACCAACCCAGCTTCCTAGCTTCCGAGACGAGTGAGCGGTATCAAATTTGGTTGGAAGGTTAAAACAAGGACATGTGGATCGGCTAACCCTGCAAGTCACTGTGTTGGTCTTTTCGCTACAATGAATGCTTTTTAGTTAAGTGAAATGCGTTCCCAACCCAGAAAGGGTTCATAAATTTGTCTGTCATTAACACGCCAATTGAACACATAGACCTAAAAAATACGCAGTCAAAAAAACGCCTACCTGGATCTGGGCAGCAAATGCTGATTGAATCCCGTTTACTGACGTGACAAACATGGTTTAGAGGACAGAATGTATCAATACCGCATTTGGTCATGACTCCACCCACTACATGGGGTTTCCCATGAGGACAATAACCACGATAACCTAAACAAGAATAATTATAGACAACAAAAAGTAGTACTATGCTTTATGGACTGGAAGTTAAGCATATAGCATCAAAACAGAGAGAACGAGTGGATTGAGGAGCTACTCAAAAGAAGGTGTACCAGTACCTAAGGGCACATTCTACGATGGCTGTATGAGTGAAACAACTTTGCTTTTTACGTGTTTCTCATTGCTGTGCCCTGGTCTCTAAGGCAACAAAGAGAAGGTGACTGTTTGGACATTAAGAGGAAGCTGTAACAGTGTAGGTGACTTTGACCAAACGATCGATGGGAACGAATCTCACGGATCTCTGAAACTCGACGGGTACTGTAATTGATGGCATTCCTTACCTGGGCAATTTATCTGGCATTGGGCTTTCGTGGCAAAATTATTCTCATTGCCACCGATCCCGGTGTAGTTGAAAGGTAAACAGCTGTCTTCTAGTGGATCGTAATAGAATCGTGGCAGAGTGGCGTCGCCTACACCTAACATCAGCTGCTGATCACATGGCGGCCCTGAATATCAACGATGAACTGATGGTTCTGTTTAGATAAGAATGTACACAAAGATAGCTGTGATACAAGTATGAATGACTTGAAATATCATGCTCAGCAAATGCTTCCATGATAGTTGGTTTCTCATT